AGCAGCAGCAGCAGCAGCAGCTGCTATCAGATAACACCATCATCTGCACCAGCTTGCAACACGTGGCACAACCGCATCGCGCGCCAAATACAACGTCAGCACACCAATCGCCTGATGTTGCAATGCAGCAACCCCATATCCCCGCCCCCCCACACCGCAGCCAAGACCCAAGAACCCTAAACCCAAAACCTAAACCCCAAAACCCTAAACAGTAAACCCTGAACCCTAAACCTTATATCCACGGTACTGTGGACCAAGACTGACAAAGACCTTCAAAAAAAGAAACGCCTTATATCCAAAAAGCCCCATTTTGGGGTAGAGCAGTGCGGAGCCTCGTGAAGGTCTGACGAGCCACGTCGCCTCGGCACGCTGAAGTCCGGCACCTACGAGGGAAAGTGCTTTTAGGGTTTTTGGGATTTTGGGGCGCTACCAACAAAGTCACTATAATCGCCACTACAAGCGTTTCGAGAAGGCGTTCCATAAGGGGTTTGGGCGTGGGGGGGGGGTTCCGGGCAGTTTCTCTGCTTGTCTGGGGTAAGGTGAGATATTGAGGCATATGGGTTTGGGGTTGCATGATCATGTGGGAAGTTTGATGCCGGTTCAAGACATGATTCGGAGTGTGGGGTTGATCTTCGACTTTGAACTCGAAGGCCTACAGGGTCCTAAACCCTAAACCTTAAACCCTAAACCCTAAACCCTCTTTGTTGAAGTCTTTCATCGCTCCTGCCGTAGTACGACTTCGACCGCAGCTTTTGCGGTTTAGGGTTTAGGGTTTAGGGTTTAGGGTCTGCTTTGGGTCAGGCAGTTGTTGCCTTCTTGTTGCCGTTGTCGTTGCCGTGTTTCGCTGTCGTCGTGGTCATAGAGTCATAGGATATGTGTTTGTGTATTGTCGTTGTTGTCATCTGTGGCGCTTGGTTCCGAGGTTGGCGACATCGATGACGATACGATGAGTGTTTCCGTTGTCAGTGACAGTGGGCTTGATGATGTTTGTTGATGATGACCACGACGACCGTTTTATGATGATGATGATGATCGATGACGACGACGATGACCTGCTATTGATGATGGTACGCCAGCATCCATGGAATCATAGTGTCTTTCATCATCAGCGACGCCATCACCACCGGCTTGTTGATACCGGTTTTCGACGGCACTGGGCAACATGGATCCTGTCATCGTCGTGATCAACGTCATCGCCGACAAAAGCATCATCGCCCTCGCCATGGTCACCATCACACACCACCATCTGGGACATGTCCTCAGAACGAGCACCACCGTCATCATCTACCGCAGCATCACGGTCTCCATCAACACCGTCATCATCCAGAACTTCGTTAGCATCCTCGTCATCCTGGTCCCCATGCACATCGCCATCATCCTCACCATCGGCCTCCACGGCGCCGTCGCCATCACCAGCACCAGCACGATGACGCTCGCGATGGTGGGAATCATGGCGAGGCTTCTGATGCTGATGGCGGGTGTTGCTGATCATGATGAGGCTATGAGGCTGTGGATGATTCTTCTGGTGCCGGTGATGCTGCTGGCAATGATGTGGCGAGCATGGTCACTGTTTGGAGATGTCAAGCTCTGCTGCCCAAGGAGCTTTTCGCAGACACATGGCCCGGAGCTTTGCAACTCTTCGGCGAGCCGGTAGCGGGGATTTCGGGCTTTGGGCTTTGAGCTTTCGGATGTTGGGGTTGCGGGCGAAAGCCGTCATGTCTGGTCCGTCCAGCCTTCCAAGCTTCAAGCTCACCTCCACGCCCCGACTAATATGGGGGCCTTTATGATTACCGACAGTACTTTGGGGGGGGGGGGGGGGGGNNTTCCTTGTTATAATTAGAGTATAATGTACGACAAAACCTTATTCTAAATATGAAGTCCCCTACATTAAGTTGGCCAAGGATCATAGAAGCCGGAGCAGATACCCATGGCGTTCCTGAGCGTTCCTTCTTACAACTTCGGCCTTCGGGCTTGCGCATCCGGATTCTGTTCCAAGATCCGTTTTTAGGGTTTAGGGTTTAGGGTTTAGGGTTTAGGGTTGAAGGCTCCGGGGACTTCGTAAGTAGGGTATTTTAGGGTATAGGGTTTAGTCGTTGATTGGGGGGAGTATCTTTCATGTATGACGGTATAACATACAATATATCATATGTAATAATGTAATATATAATATACGGTATATATCTATATCTATATATATATATATACACACATAGAATATAGTACATATATAATATAACTAACTAACCTTGTAAAACCATGCTTAATCCTCAGCCCTCGTCTTTGAACTAGTTCCCAAGCTTCGGGTTGAGCGTGCCGCGGCGCATACCTGATACTGCCATCACAAAAGACTTCGAGCATAAAGAGCATGTTGAGTTTCGTCTCAGGTTCAACTTGTTTCGCAATCTGCTGGCCTTGCCATGCCGGATCTTGCCTTTGGAGCTTTTTCCTTGTCCAGTTTACTCATCCTTTGTCGTCTTGGTCAGTCTTCTCGTGCCCTTCTTGCTATCCGTGCTCGTACGTAATCGCAGCAAGCCACAGAAGTTCCACCTTACATGCACCAAGTTCCAGCTCAACGCCGCGCAGGTCGGATTGCTACGAAACCCCAAGAGTCCCCATGCCACGGTCGCTGAGGTTATGGCTTCGTCGAGTGCGCTGAGACCAAGTCCGCAGCTACCTTAGCTCGCTACGCTTCACCCCGAAAGCACCGAAAGTGCTAGCCCCGCGGTCTCGGCTACAGTGTCAACCCCAGCACAGGCTTTGAGTGCAGTGCTTTTGCAGGAGATTGCGGGAGCTTAGTCGGGGGTGCTCTCCAAACTTTGGCACGCAGAATGTAGCGAGTTAATCCGGATTCTTCGGTAGGGCAGGGAAGTTGATTGTGGCGCAGTATACCAGAATGCATGTTATGGTGCTGCGCCACGCGGCTTTCTAGACAGACAGTCGCGTGTCTCCTGCCGAGTCCTATTCGCGAGATGTGTACCTGGACAAGACGCAGATGCGCGAGAATTGTTCGACCCTGAGCTCAGCCGTTGTGCTTCGCTTTCACACTGTTTGCCCCAAGGTTTCAGACTCACTGTTCTCAGCCGCGTTGTGGCCAAGCCCGAAAGCCAACGTCCGCAGGACATAGCCCAAGAGTGCCCAGACAGCCCAGACAGAGGTCCCCAGAAGTGGACGAGTACATGGCCTGGATACGTGCTTCGCAATAGCATTCCCATATAGTTTTCCAGTGTAGTAGAATGCACCCCCCCAAAGCCAAATCGAATCATAGTTCGTGTGAGAGAGATAGAGCGAGAGAGAGAGAGAGAGAGATAGAGCGAGAGAGAGAAAGAGAGACAGAGAGAGCAGCCAACCAGCGGCATGCTAGGCAGATAGCGTCGGCGTAAGAGCCCATGGTTTGTTGCGAAAGCCCAAAAACCCTGAACCCTAAGTCCTAAAGCCTCGAGCCTTGGATTGAAAAACAAACAAACCGCCTATTCCCTGAATGCTGGAACCACACCGCAATGCCCCCTAGGCCCTAAACGAAATATGTGCTAGTGCACAGAAAGTTGCGGAAGCCGTCTTTCGAGTTGGCGCCAAAGCGCGGAAAAACAGAGCGCGCAGGGCCGCCCTAAAAAAAAGCCGAGAGCCCTATAGGACTATCAAGCCTCAAAGCCCCTGCTCTGCTAAGCTGCGTGGCAATGGGGTCAGCTCCTCGAGTTCTCTGTGTCAATGAACGATCGCGGGCAGCCGCAGGCAAGGCTCACATTTATCAGGACTACGTATGAATCATCGGGAACGTGCCATACTTGTGGTATGTTCGAAGGTATGCAAGGTGGCATGTAGGGATACTGCTTTGTAACTAAACCCTTAACCGTTGGGGAGTTTGAGATCCCAAACCGGTCAAGCCTCGACCCAGACCCCAAATACACAACCTCAGCGAACCCCGCTTCAGCTAAACGCTAAGCCCCTAAACCCACTGATGGTTCCTTTTGAAGTAATATAGAAGCCTCAATAGTTACCTGTAGTATTGTTACGGTTCCGTATTATAATAATACTCTAAAGGAGCCCAAAACCCTATTCTAATTATTAAGGCCCCTACGCCCTAAACCCTTGTAGTAGCCCTTATAGAACCCGCTTCCCAAGCTCGGTGGGCTCTTGATCATTGGCATGAAGCCGGGGAAAAACGGTGGGTCTTTTAAGCTTAGAGCTTATAAGCCCTACGACTTGATGTTTTGCTTTTTCGTGCAGCTTTATCCGGACTTCCCGATATATCGAGGGTCCCGAATCTTTGCAATTCGACCGTCTGGCCGTTTTGGGGCGTTTTCAGGATAAGCCTAAACCCCAACCCTAAACCCTTAGGTAGGGTTTACGGGTTTAGGGTTTAGGGGTTTAGGGTTCAGGGTTCAGCGCTCAGGTCTTATTCACAGCCTTCGTTGGGGCCTTGGGTCAGGGTTTGTATGATTCGGAGAGCCCCCAGCGAGAGAAGCTCCGCCAAAGAGGCGCAGAACGTGAACTGGGAGCCTGTCCCGCCCCCCTGGCGCGATTGCCTGGGGAAGGGTGGGGGTTTTGGATTTGGGGTGTCTCCCCTTGGCCACGAACGCAAGCCCGCAACCCCAAACCCAGAACAGCCTTAACCCTGAACCCCAAGCCCTAAACCCTTAAACCAAACCCTAAGAAGCTCGAAAACTCTAAGACCGAAGCAAAGAGCCCTAGACCCCGAACCCCAAACAAAGACCCCCTGCAGCGTAAACGCCAGAGTCTCTGGAGTGGAGGGATCCTGGAAGCCTTGGGACTTCTGCTCTTTGCGATCAAGCTTTCGAGTTTAGGGTGTAGGGTTCAGGGTTTCGAGTTTTGTGAGTGGCTTTCGAGTTTAGGGTGTAGGGTTCAGGGTTTCGAGTTTTGTGAGTGTTTTTTTTGGGTTTCGAGGCTTTAGGGCGGTTTGGGGTTAGGGCTCGGGTCCCGGCTTCCGATGCTTGATCGGGTGGATTCTGATTGTTTTAGCAGGCCACACCTCTAAAACCCTCAACCCTAAACCCTAAACCCTGAAACCCTAAACCCTAAACCCTGAGGCCCTCAAACAAAAAAACCCTGAAGCCGTAAACCCTCGAGTCCCTCCTCCGGACTTCTGGGCTTTGGGCTCATGGTGAAATCAAGGATGGAGGCAGCCAGCACCCTAAACCCTAAACCCTAAACCCAAAACCCTAAACCCTAAACCCTAAACCCTAAACCCTAAACCCTAAACCCAAGCCCACACTCCGGTTCCCTCCGCACCCCAAAGCACACCCTGAATGCCAGCCCTTGTAGACCCCCTAAACTCCTAGAGTTTGAGCCCTAAACCCTAAACCCTAAACCCATGCCCTGAACCCTAAACCCTAAACCCTGAACCTTGAACCCTGAACCCTAAACCTTGAAACCTCAACTCCCAAATCCCCCCGGCAGAGTGGTGCCAGGATAATGAGCGGCAGTCCATCGACTGTGCCCGCTTGGAAGAGGATGCTCAAGCCGATGCTAAGAGCTCTGCGGTTCAGGGTTTAGGGTTTAGGGTTTAGGGGTTCAGCGAGCCTCAAGAGGGTTACTGGTAGGGCACATGTGGGTAGTTCTCTAAAGTAGGGTCCCAGATCCCACAGATAGTACGGCACCCTTATAAAAAGGGCCCTAAAAGGGACCCTACTTTAGAGAACGACCCATGTCGAGGACCTACAACGAGAAGACGGTTGATCAGCTGAAGCGCTTGCTTAAGCTGGGGAGCCCGGACCAGAACTGCGGTGGAGCCGAGAGTTTTAAGAGCTTAGGGTCTAGGGCGTAGGGGTTTACTTGGAGGATCATGGGACTTAGTAAGTAAGGTTATAAGTCCCTTAATTGGGGCTATAAGTCTAGTTAAAATTATAACCCTACTTACTTAAGTCCCGTGATCCTTTAAGTAGGGGTTAGGGGTTTAGGGTTTAGGGTTCGGGCTTCAGGTAGGGCCACTAGGAACTCTTGGGGTTGAGGGTTTTGGGAGGTGGGCCTCTTTCTCATGCTGGGGGGTATACTCGTTCTTTGTGTGGCCCAGAGAGATTTGGGGGTTTCAGAAAATAGGGCACCCTAATATAGCACCCTAAATAGTAGGATCCTTATTATAAGGACCCCAAAATAGGGTACCCTAATTTTCGGAATCTCCCATTTCGATGATCCCCAACACCGAAGCTACAAGGCTGCCACTGCTGATCTGACGATGGTGATGAGGATGGTAATGAGATGGTCATAAGAGAACCTGAAACCAGGAAATGTCCAATACCAAAGCAGATCATGCAGCGAGCCGGCTTAGCCGGTGTAGCCATAAATGCCCAATGACACCAAAAACCCGCAGCCCCAATCCCTATACCCTAAATTTTAAGCTGTATACCTTACGCCCCCAAGCCCTCAGCAAAGACTCCCAAACCACAGGTCCACCCAAAACCGGCCGAGGCTGCTGTATGAGAAGAACCCAGAAACGGCCATCGTCTCCGCCATCGATTTGTGCCTCGCCGTCTTTCTGCTCTCCCCCCCCTCCCCGAAACCCGAGATTTTTGGGGCGTGGGACTAAGGATTCAGGGCGTAGGCCTTGGAGTGCCGCGCGGGTTTAGGATTGATAAGCTGTGTTGGCTTTTAGAGAATCGCCCCGCCAAGCCCGAAACCCCGAGCCTCATCGAGCCACAGAAACGGCGTTCTGAAATGTGCACTCTTTAACTTAAAGGATCATGGGACTTAGTAAGTAGGGTTTGGGTACTGCCCCCACTCAGTAACAGTCGGATAACATTTAAACTATGGATATATTAGGCCCTTAATAGTAGCCCTATTATAGACTGTTACTGTATGGGGGCAGTACCCAAAGTAGGGTTATAACTAAGGTAACTATACTTATAACCCCAATTAGGGGACTTATAACCTTACTTACTAAGTCCCATGATCCTCCAAGAAAGGGAATCCATGTTGAAACCGGACCCCCTCAGTCTGGAGGCCAAAAGGTTGGGGAAAGCCAGCGCGCCCGTAACCCTTGGAAACGGAATACACCCGTGAATCAGAACATGAAGCTCCCTAGAATTTAAGGTAGACTATGATTTCCTTAAAAGTCCTAAAGAAAGATATGATATCGGGCTCTCAGTAAAACCGCCGAGAAAGTAGCAGAGTGTTTTCGTTGAGACCCCTACCGTACTTAAAGGATCATGGGACTTAGTAAGTAGGGTTATAACTAAGGTAACTATACTTATAGCCCCAATTAGGGGACTTAGAACCTTACTTACTAAGTCCCATGATCCTCCAAGTACTACTCTAGACCCCAAACCCTAAACCCTAAACCCTAAGCCCTAAGCCCTAAACCCTAAACCCTAAACCCTAAACCCTAAACCCCAAACTTGGGCCACTGAGAGACTCCGCAGAACCCAAGGCAAGGTGGTTCCAGTGGCCCGGGCTCAGCGGCCCAGCCAGCCCCAGAGGCTCCCCCCAAAAACGCGGGCTCAGATTTCAGGGCTTAGGGTTTAGGGTTTAGGGTTTAAGGTTTAGGGTTTAGGGTTTAGGGTTTAGGGTTTAGGGTTTAGGGTTTAGGGTTTAGGGTTTTGGGTTTTGGGTTCCGAGGGTGTTCAAGGGCTTGGGGGTTCCGAGGTTTTTTTGGGAGCACTTTGGGCAGGATTGGTCAGCGGTATGGGTGAACGAGGCGTCGGGTTATTTCAAAAAGGGCTGCGGGTTTTGGGGTGGGGTGGAGGGGTGTCTGCGTGTTTGGGGCTACGTAGGGTTGATGACGAAATCTTGAGACGCAGAAGCTGCGCTTAAAGTGCTCCAAGCGGTTTTCGTGGGCGCGGCCGGGTTGCCAGCTTTGGGCTCAGGATCCTCCTGGAATTCTATCCTCGGGTAGAGATCCGCTAGGGCCGCTAGGCAGTTCTTCAAGCATTCGAGCACTAACACAATGCCTTCCCGTCTGGGGAGGATCCGATTCAGGGCCCTGAATCGGATCCTCCCCAGACGGGAAGACATTGTGTTAGTACTCGAATGCTTGAAGAATTGCCTAGCGCATCTCTACCCTTCACCCGGATCCGTATCATTGCCAACTGCATCCGACTCACCCTGATCATCCTCCTCCTCCTCATCATCATCATCATCACCATCATCATCATCAGCATCATCATCATCATCATCATCATCACCATCGCCATTGCCATCTTCATCATCATCACCATCATCATCACCATCATCATCACCATCATCATCGTCGTCATCTTCATCATCAGCAGTAGCATCAGCATCAGCATCATCATCATCATCATCATCATCATCATCATCATCATCGTCATCATCATCATCATCATCATCATCAGCAGCAGCATCAGCATCATCATCAGCATTATCATCATCATCGTCGTATTATTCCCGAATGCGTAGCAGAAGGGTTCTCGTTTGAAGGTTGGGGGTCTGAGGGTTAGGACTTGACGCGGAATGCGTGCGCAGCGTCCGCAAGCGTCCGCGAGTGTCGGATTTGGCTGGGAGCCGAAAATCGTCGCGAAACGCAGAAGTGTCGTCACTTTTTGGACCTCGCGTTCCAAAAGTGCCAACACTCACGCGGATGGAGGGGGTCCTGGTCGCGAAACCTAGAACTGATAATCCTGCTGCTATCGGGCACGCAACTGCATTCGGGTTCGTGGCTCCTATCAGGTTATTATTAGCATTATCATCACCACCATGTTCACGTTCTTGATGATGATCATGGCCACCATCATCATCAGCAGCATCAGCATGTTGGGCGCAGTTGCTGTCGGAGATGTCATCTTTACAAGCCTTAAGCAAGATTTTCGATACAATGCTATAGAAGTATACATAGTATTGCATGACAGTATATTGTATGGTGTCCTAAGATTATGCAACATGAAACAGTGTTATATCATGAATGTTGTGCTTAGAATCAGGACCCCTGGCATTCGGTGTCCATGCACATCAGGCACCGCCAGATGCCGACGTGGACTACGTCTTCTTTGTGCAGCTCGGCAAGACTCACTAGTAGAGGAGCTTGGCCTCGCTTTCGCGCGTTCGAGGGTTTTAGATGTTCAGTAGAGATGGTATCTAGGACCGGGCCTCCGCTAGGTTCCCGTAACATGCAGAACGAACCGAGAATGCTTCCGCCAAGCTCTGGCGGGAAAAAACTGCTTTTCTCGGGAAGGCCCATCCACTGGAGCACGGCGCCCATGCTTCCCATCCAACCTAAACCCTCGACCCGAATATTCCTGACACCTCAAAACCGTAAGACCCTAGGACCCTAGACCAAAAACTGCGATCTTCTTGCTTGCGCGCACTTCTAGCGCGAAGCCCTCCACCGTCCGAGGCTGGATCGTCTGGAGAACAAGGCGCCCTTTTGTTGGAATTTTGCAGGTTCAAAAAAATCTAGGTTTTAGGGTTCAGGGTTTGAAGTCCGTGTCAAGGAGATATAGGGTTTGGGGCAGGGATTCTACTGATTGAGGTTGCGGCTTTGAGGAGAAAAGATGCAGGGTTTGGTTCTGGGACAATCCAAATCCAACGATTGGCCATCGAGGGTTGAATATAGGGGCCTTAATAACTACCTATATTATTTTGGGGGTTCCTTATTATTTTTATTATTATTATTATAGTATAATGGGCCCCAAAGCCCTATTTCAGTTATCAAGGCCCCTACATTCCCATCGAGGGTTTAGGCCCCTGGGCCTCAGGGCCAGGGATTGTGATGGTGGCCACAAGCCATTCCGTGAAGGTTCAGTTGATCGGCTCTGGACTCCCTAAACCCTAAGCCCTAAACCCTAAACCCTAAACCCTAAACCCTAAACCCTAAACCCTAAACCCTAAACCCTAACTGTTTCAGGATCTGAGTGCTTTGGGATGGTTACGGGCGCCGCCCCACTTCCCCTTACACTGCTATGCCCTAGAATCTTGCCAAAGGCAGAGTTCACAGCACCCGGGCCTATGTAGTACCCGAACCTGCCGCGCCAGATTCAAGAGCGGAATGCACAGCCCTTAGACCCCAAACCCGAAACCCAAAATCCTACGAATCCTATCCGAGGTCGCCAGCCCCGAGAGCCATAGTAACAGGACAGCCTTGTAGTCTTAACACCCCCCCCTTCATCCTAACTCCGATCCCTAAGCCTAGCAGGAGGAGGTCCTGGGAGCTATCAAGGCAGGTCCTGGGGAAATGCCCGGGCGAAGGGGTTTTAAGACACGGGGATTCCCGTAAAGGCTCCTTGTAGGTCTTGTATAAGAGTCGGTTCTACAGTGGGGGTTCCTTCTAAGGGTCTGGTATGAGTGTTTATCGGCTCCAAACCCTAAACCCTAAACCCTAAACCCTAATTGTGGGATCAGGGCCATCCTTCTGTTTTGGAGGTTCTCAACAGTGTGGTCCCTTCCAGGTGTGATTCTCGCATGTAGCAGAGACATGGCAAGGTTTTAGATGCTAGATGTCTTTGGGAGTTCGCTTACCTAGGGTACCCTTAAGTCCGCATAGCATTAGTTAGGTACCCTTACAGTAAGTCCCCATAGTATTAGTTGGGTACCCTTAAGTCCCCCATTGTATTAGTTAGAGTTCGTAGAAGGCGCTCCTATCCATGGAAAGCCACCGAAAAACTATGGAATCAGACCGAGCTCCGCTTCCAAACACCCTATACCCTAAACCCTAGACCCTAAACCCCAAAGTCTAAGCCTAAACCCCCAACTCTAAACCCTAAACTCTAAACCCTAAACCCTAAACTCTAAACGCTAAACTCTAAACCTAAACCCCAAACTCTAAACTCTAAACCCTAGACCCTAAACCCTAAACCGCAGCAGGCCAGGCGAGGTGGGGCTGCAATGCCTGTACTGGGGGGAGTTGGTGATGACTATCACTACTATTATTATTACTATTGCTACTATGACTACTACTGCTGAATACGATCACTATCATTACTCTTATATTACTCTTATATTACTCTTATATTACTCTTATATTACTCTTATTACTGTCATTGCCATCATTACTATTGTTGCTGCTATTCCTATTTCTCCTATTGCTACTGTTGCTCCCTAAACCCCAAACCCCAAACCCTAAACCCTAAACCCCAAAGTCTTGCGGGTGTACGGAGCGGCTGTTCAAACGAGCCTGGACCTGCGGTCCAATATAGGGGGCCTCAATAATTAGAATAGGGTTTTCGGGCCCATTATATCATAATTATGATTAGGAGCCCCCAAAATAGGATAGGTAATGGTTTAGGCCCCTACATCACGCGACAGTCGACGATCCCCAACAAAGCGACACCCACGATCCAACTGACGTGATGACGTCGTGTTTTCCTTGCTGCGAGCCAAAATACAGGTCTCGAACACGCACGCGGAATCGCCGATGCACTTTCGGGTTCTTAACGGGTGCTTTGCAAACTCTTGCCGGATGCGAACACTTGCCAGTGCTTTGCATGCGTAGTTGGGCGTAGCTCGTGGCAACTCCTCCTTCAAGCCCCACAAACTTGAGACGGGAAGGAAGCAACCCTTCCGATACGCCTGATACGCGCTCGACAACAACGAGGAGATATGATGGTGAAGATCATCGTGACCCAAAGCCCTAAGCATTATAAACCTTGAGCTAGGCAGCTAGGCCCTAGAAGCCGAACTCCTCTGAGGACTTCGTGAAAATGCTCTTCATCCTCATGCTCTCCCGAATGCTGAGGCCGAGGGCCTGGTGCTTCCCAGGGCATAGGGTTTTAGGGTTTAGGGTTTAGGGTTTAGGGTTTGGGGTTTAGGGTTTAGGGTATCAGGACCCCTAAACCCTAAACCCTGAACCGACTTTGTATAAGGGTTCTTGAAATTGGGCTTTCTTGGTGTTGCAGGCTTTCTGGCTCTTGAGGCTGTAAAGGTGTTCAACGGCGCGAAACCCCACACCTAGAGCCTTTCTGTTGGTTTAGATGTGGAGAATCCATAACGATACATACTAGCCCAGGGTTTGATGAAGATATACTATTATCACTACTCTTGTTTCTACCACGATTACTAGTACTGTTACTAGTTTTACTAGTTACAGAAATCACATGTATTGTTATTGTTATTGTTATTGTTATTGTTATTGTTATTGTTATTGTTATTGTTATTGTTATTGTTATTGTTATTGTTATTGTTATTGTTAATGTTATTGTTATTGTTATTGTTATTGTTATTGTTATTATTTCATTATCACATTATTGCTATTACGATCCCTCTTCTTTCATATTAGTAGTCTTATTGTTATTGTATTTACTACTGTTACATGATATCACATTACTTTTGCTAGTGTTGCTATTCCTATGTATATCATTCTTCTTCTTAGTATGATTTTTGATTCTCATCATAGTTGCTTGTATTGTGAGCAGCATTGTTCTCACCATTATTGCTGTTGCTGTGATTTTTATTCCTATGATTGGTGTTATGATGATTATCATGACTATGATGGTGACAGCTATAATAGTTGACGTCATGTTTTGAGCTTTCGAGGTTTGCCTCTGAGACTCTATTGCTCCTCTTTGTGGGGTAGGCAGCCTTTAGCATTTAGGGCTTTGGGTTTAGAGTTCAGGGGTAGTTTGGCCACTAATATAACCCTACTAAGTTCACTTTAGTCTTTAGCCCCCTAAGGATTCTGGATAAGTAGTTCGCTTAGACATGGTGGACACGGTAGCAGGATTAGTAGTCTTCGTCGTCGCAGTCGTGCAATAGGAGTCGTAGCACATATCCCGAAGCCCGAAAAAGCCTCACACCCAAGCCCGGACAAAGAAAACTTACATGGACCCAAACTAAAGGCCCCGGCCTCAAGCCGAAAGCCCAAACGCTCCACTTAATCGAATGTAGAAGTCTCAAGCCGCGGGTGCAAGGGTGCAGCCGTCCATGGTACGGGTGGAACAGCTGGTGGAGTGGTACGAGGCGCCCAGGTTAGGGTTTAGGGTTTAGGGTTTAGGGTTTAGGGTTCAGGGTTTAGGGTTTAGGGTTCAGGGGCCAGAGACGAGGAGACGAGATGCGTGCAAGAGTCCAGTTCCCACGATGCATGCACATATGTTCCTGGCTGTCTTGTGGTGGATTTGCTGATATTCCCGTCGTGTGGTGATCCTTTTCTTCACAATCTTGATGTGGCGCCGCTTCTACTGGTGCTGGTGCCAGTGGTAAAGTCGTCATCGGAGGGTGGTGTGTGAGAGTGTCGGACTATAGTAGTTACTGCTGCTTCTGTTGCTGCTGCTGGCCTCATTGGTTGCTAGCCACAGGCTTTGGCGCGAGCGATTCAAACGAACAGCGAGCCCGTGAAGCAGCATTTTCAGGCCCAAAGGGTTCTTGCCCGGTTTTGCAAGGGATTATAGGGTCTAAAATGGAGGTCAGATTGGGGCCTTAATACTTAGAACAGGCTGTTGGGGCCCATTATATTGTGGAGCCCGCAAAATAATATAGGTAATCATTTAGGCCCCTATATTCATGTTGATTCCTTCAGGTTCCCTAACATAAGTACAATTCACCCTCGCAACGTGGTTGCATCGGGTTTAGGGTTTAGGGTTTAGGGGTTTAGGGTATAGGGTTTCACGCATGGGCTGCTTAATTTTCAGGGTTTAAGGTCTCGAGGTCCCCTTGTGTGTTGGAGGGGAGGGGCGGGTCCTCGTAATAAGGATCCAGATGGCGCTAAAACTAGGACCCCGCCACCATGTACTGCTAGCCCTAAACCCTAAACCCTAAACCCTAAGCCCTAAACCTTGATAGAGCATGTAATCAACTTCTTAAAAGCTTGCAAATTTGGGAGCCCTTCTTGAAGCGGCGCTCGAAACTAGTCAGCTTTTTCAAGACGAAGTCTGTAGGATCCTGGGACACAGGCGTTCCTGGGTTAGAAGCCCAAATATACATGCCGCTGAGTTGCATGGTATTAGCTAGTTCTGGCTTTCCATCTCAGGTGGCAGAGTGGGGAGGCTTCCTGTAGCTTTGACCTGGCTTCCTCCCACGTCGATGTAGCCTCCCTTATTATTGATATTATTGATATTCTTGTAGTGAGACCAGTTTGACACCACTGCAACAGGATGTCGTGAAGCAGATCAATACCCACATTCAGAATGCTGCGAAAGACAACGACAACCTGCAGGACGAGGCCAAAGTGAGTGTGGGAGAGCACTTAGGGTTGCAATCTGCATGTCCAGCGCTTTTTGATCGCGAAAACATGGACCAGAGCATTGGGTCAGGCCTCAGTCCTCAGTCATCTTTTCAGCCTGGCACAGACTGAACCTCGCCGCCATGGCTCGTCGCGTGATGTCGCTGATGCTGCTGGCCGCGGCTGTGGCCGCGCTTTGCCGTAGCACGGCCTTCTTGGCTGCGCCCAAGGACATGCCTCGCGCCGACGTCCTCGCTGCTCTGGCACCCATGGTGCTGGGGGCCCAGAAACTAGCGGCAATTCTAGGCATGTCGAAGCATGTGTTGCTGAGTTTGATGCGAAAGAATTGACACGAGCATGTATGCGCGAGACGCCGAGGGTTGTTCAGCCCGCCTTCGCTGCCGATCTTCCGTACAACGGCAACTTCGACAACCCCATCTACTACGAGGAGGCGACCTCTTCCGACCTGTCTTACCTGCTCTTCTTCACAGCGGCATTGCTTGTGTACCTTGGCAAGACCGCCTTCGACAAGAGTGGCGCCAAGAGCTTGGGCGACGCAGTGAGCAAGTGAAGCGTGTTTTT